AATACTGCCAGAACGAAGCAAGTGACCAACCCAAATATTTTTTTATCATCACAAAAAATATAATAATAATAATAATAATAATAATAATAATGTTTTCGTTTTTGGGAATGCGTACAAATCAAACCAATTCTATTACAAACTACGACATTACTTGAACACGTACTGTACATTTAAAAAATGTGCACATTTACGAAGAAAACGATTTTAACGCATGGACTCGGGGTATTTGAAAACGAATTGCATTATACTAAAATAATTTATAAAAGTGTTTTCTTCCATCTCTTTTACCCTGGAATTTTATTTTTACAGTTTCGTAAGTATAGTTATTGTAGTCTACTTATGGGAAATCGGCTCTGAACACTCGCAAACATATAGAGGGGTACTTTTTACCAGATCGTTTGTTATAAACAGAAAAGCCGAAAAGAGTTTATTGTCCATAAAGAGCATTTCTCGGCTTTGAATCCCCACTATGCTTAACTGAAAAAAACGGGTCTGTACAACTGTGTCTGCAAGTTTAGCATTCTTTCACAGTAACAATTAGCGCCCTCACACCTGGTTCCACAGTCCCCCGGATTCGAGACTAGATAACAATGCATTCGTACCCTGCTAATGGATTCTTTAGACACAAGAAAAACCCCACACCGCCTAACGCAGACTGTTTTTTGTCTGGAAATTCAATTTGGACGTTGGAGAGATTATTGTGAAAGTATTGTTAATTGTTCATACGAAATATTTGTATTTTTTTGTTTAATTTATATAAATTGCCATTCTGCTGCATTAACAGCTATTCATTACAACTGTTATTGGCACTACTGCTATTAATATTCTATCATGCAGTAACTCAATATGTTATTATTCTAAAAATAACAATTACACGGGAAGATTTCAGCTGCAGAGACAAAATACAGAACTGCATTAACATCCTGGATAAATTATTTCAGCAGTTTTAAAATATCACGAAATGTATATAAAAAATGTTTAACCTACGTTTTTGTTCGTTGAACGTGATTCGATTTTTTTATTTTAAGTTTATCTCAAAATAGCTTACTGCAGCTAAGTCGCAGTTCAGAAAACCGCGTCTACTACACACATACAAACAATAAAAATGCTTCTGTTTATGGGGAAGTCACACAGCCCACTCGGTGGAACAGCGATCGGCTACCTCATATTAAAATAGTTTTAACAAGAAGCAAAAGAAGACAAGCCGATAGAGATGGGGTTTCCCTTCGCCGATGCAATGTGTGCGCGCTGAAAGCCAGAGAAGGATTTTCCTTCTCCAGTCCAAACCACAGGCCACCACTGCTCACGCAGGAACACGCTGACCCTCATGTTCTTTGAGTGGAACTCATAATTCTGCGGCGTTTATACATTATTTCAAATAACCTCCCAAAGAGCTACGACAGCGACAGCACCACGTATGTATTATCTATATCTATATAGCAAATATATTAACTGCAGATCCATTATTTGCACCCAACTGGGGCTCAGAAGGCGCAAAGAATTCCGGTTAGCCTTTGCATAACACAAGAACATGTTCCCATTCATAATATGCGCATTTACCTAGTTGCGTGGTGTACATTTACTTCTCATGGAATTAGATGAGAATTTAAAAGCCGCAATCAAATAACACTGCGTTGTGCAAAGTCCTCAAGTCCTTTTCCAAGTAAAAATAATAATAATAATAATTTAGTTGCACGTCTTTAAGTGGAAATAACAATCTATAGATCTGTTATAAAGCCCATTTATACCGAGTGCACGTATGTGCGAGTTGTTATGGCAAATCGACGGAACGCAAACTAAAGAAAGGAAGGCAGAATTGGGCACGCTCTGTCCCTGTCACGCGCTAGGCCTCCCGGCTTCCACTCACAGCTGCGAGCCGGCCAGGCACGGGAGCGGCTGCGGGGGTCCGCCCACGCGCCCGCGGGGGCATGCCGGGTACGGTGACACCAATCTGACAGCAGGGCGCTGGGGCAGGTCCCGTTTTCAGCTCGGGGGTGCCTAAGACCCAGACCCCCCCCCACCCCCGAAGAACTTCCTATCTGTAGTAAAGAACTCGCTTTCTTAGTTCGCCGGACTGCAGCGTCCTGACAATGCGGAACAGAGAATTTATGCGTACAGCATGTTCCGTTTTAAAGATAATTATAAATCAGGCATCTGTAATGTATAAGCACGTCAGCATTATATTAAATTTAAATATCGTCAAAGGCCATACAAATTACTCCAACACGCAGCCCATACAAGTTATTTATAGCGTTTTCACCACCTACATAGGAGGCTGCGTATATCTGCATATAGGCCTGCATTTATATGCGCGCGAACACAGCGCCGTCTTTAATAAGTCTCCGCACCGGCGGGGTGAGAAAGAGACGTGTTTTGGGAAACAAATGAGTTTTGCTGATACATTCTCAATTTAACTGCCCCCCCTCATTCTTCGTTCATTTTAGTCACGTATTCTTTCTGCACCTATGGTTTTCGCCACAAGGAGTCTTTTTAGCACCAGCCAGGGCTCGTCTGTCCCTGCGGGTCGGTTCACATCGTCACGATCACCCACCAGAACGGGAGAACCCATTCACAAACAACCACGGATTTACAAGGGAACACTAGTGGGTTTCATTCCGACTACTGAGAGGACAGCACCTCCTGTCGCGCTATCAGGTAGCTTTCCCTTCATCTGGGATGGCCTCCTTTTACATTCAGTCCTCCTGTTAAGAGCTGTGAGTAATCCACAGCAGGTTCCACGGTGACAGACCCCACCCACCCACAAAGCCCACACAAGCATGAACACCTCTACACTCCCCCACACGCAACAAATCGACGCCATCTTAAAGAACAGGAGAGAGCGGAAAAAACATCACGTTTTCACGTGACTCTCGGCACACAAAGGGTGCAGAATATCTACCTCTGCCGAGCGGTAGTGCTGGTTCTGTCCCGGCATAGACGTAACCAACGCAACGAAACGCCTTCAATAATATCACACCTACGTCCACTTTATAAATAAACGCCACATCACGGAGAAACATGCACAAACACATAAACAAGTTGGAGAAGGCTCATTATTGCTTGGACAACATTTGACGTGCGGTAATGGGTACGTTTATGCTCTCCAGTATAAATCAGTCTGTCTCCGTGGCTATATATCTTAAATGTAACACATATGTCACATCTTATTAAAACGAGACAGAGATGCAAAGACAAAGCGACGTTTGCCATTGAGACTCCAGGCTCACGGAGCGGCGACGGCCCCCAAAACTTCCAGGTCCGGTTACCACGGGATTCCCTGGAGGGATCTCGCTGTGTCCACAGTCCTCGCATGATCCCCTCCGGCGAAAGGCGACAGATCCCTGCGGTCCTGCCCTCCTGAAGCAGCCCGGGACAACACCTTCAGGCCCTCGGCACCACAGCGCGGCCAGCGAACGGGGCATGCTTCTAGAGCTGTGCCGCACCTCTGAAGGGACAGACGGCAGGATGCGAGATCTATCTGTCTGTCTCACGCTGGTGCCGTTCCCGGCTCATCCCGGATTATGTACCGCAAACTTCTCGCTTACGTCAACGGTGCGTCGGGGGTCAGCACACCTTGCGTGTCACTCGACACCGCTCTGCCCGCACGCCGCGCAGCGCGCCCGACTCTGTTAATTACCTCGGCTGGGACGTGCTTCCTCTCCCCGTTTCCGAGCTGGCCACGGGAGACCGCGATCGCCTCCTGCGTCACCAGACAAAGGCCGTGATATCGGGCGGGCGTGTGTATGTGTGACAATCAGAGCCAACCCCGCCTTGATCTTCCTCTCCCTGCTTTGAGCTTGCCCGCTCGCTCTCTCTCTCTCAGGAAATGTGAACTTTTTTTAATACATCACCGCTTGAGTTCCAAAGGTTAAGTGTCGTAGCATGAGAACGAAATAACCTACCTTTACAACTATTATTTAATATTTGTATATAGGCCTCTCTTCCCTTGTCTGTTTATATATATATACACACACAGAGAGATGCGGAAAATACACGACTTGTAAAATTACAAGCCAAACGAGTTATAAAACTTTTCATGCGTGAAAATATGAAAACTTTTACAGGGACAATAAAGCGCGTTTACGGGGCGCGCGGGCGATCTCCCAGGCAGCCGCAGGAGGGTTTACCTGCCCGCGAGGTCTCTCCGCGTGCAGCAGCGCCGGGTACCCAGCCGCGCGAGCTCCAGCCGCCGTTCCCTGATGCTGCTTTATGGCGGGAGGGAGGGGGGAGGGTGAAAGGTGACGGCCTTGACTTTATTGAAGTTCAAAGGCAGCATTTGCTGAGATTTTGGTATATTCTGTCTCGACGTTTTACGCGTCGTACAGACTCACAGCAAACGGACACGCGCCTCCGCTGCGCATATTTTCGCAGAAAAGAAAGCATGTTTTCCTTTGAAACCTTTTTTTTTATTGAATATGAGTGTTTGTGTGTGTGTGTGTGTGTGGGGGGGGGGGTGGAGACGTTTCCCCGATTACTTACGCTTCACAAAGGCAGGGACGCAACCCAACCTTGCTTAACCATGAGAGCCGCCGCCAGCACGGCCCTCTCGGCCCCACTGCCACCCAGCCTGTCCCGCTCCGGTCCCAGTTCAGGTCTTGGCTGGCCCCCTGCCTGCTGCGCCCCCCTCCCGGGAGGAACATCAGGCCCCACGTGTCCCACCAGCCCGGGTGTCCCTGGCAGCTCCGCGCGGGTGGGAATGGATTGGCGGGCGATGGGGGGGGGTGTGCACTGGATGTCCAAGTTCTAAGTTGCCGTGGTCATTCCCAAAGTGAGGAGCAGCTGTCTGGGAGAGGGGAATGGACGAGACGGAGTGCGCGTGCGGGCGGGGGTGGCTGAGGGGGGTCTGCTGGTGTTGGACGGACAGTCTTGCTTGTTTACTGTTTACTGCGGAAGTCACTCGCCGAACAGACGGCGCAATTAAGACAGAGGGAGAGAGCGAGAGAGGGAGAGAAAAATCAACTCTTTAGTGCCTCTGCCTTTATGACTTTGTCTAGACTGGACGAGTTCTTCAGATGGTCATTGGCGATCACATTAGCTGGGCACTAAAACTGAAGGGCCTTCTTTTTTCCTTCCTACTTTTTTTTTTTTTTGGGGTGGGGGGGTCCTTTCAGGCCCGCCGTCCGGCGCGTTGCACCTATGTGAAGGTTCCCCGTTCACACACACATTTGCGCGCGCACACAATGTGTTTTCCCTTAATATCGAGGTCATACCTGGACGAAAACCAATTCAGCATTACAGCGCTCGCCTAATTCTTTGCAGACTGCCTGGGAAAAAAAAAACAAAACAAAGGCGAACTCGCTGCGAGAGAGAGAGAGAGTGTGTGTGCGTAAATATACACCACACAGGGAAACGGACAAAATAATGGCAACATTTCAGCAACAGTGTCAATAAGAATGTCTGCATGCAGAAATTCTATTCTTAAGCTCCCTATTTTTAGTGTTCTTGCCAGTAGCCTCCTACGCAGAAGAACACAGCAGGTTAAATACACCTTCGCCGTTCTTTTTATGCACAAACAGGATCTCCCTTGAGAACACATGCCAAGGATATCGAAGCTGACTCTGCAGATTCGAATATGTTCGGACACACGGGCACGCACATGCAGAGCCTAAACGTTAAACTGGGTCACAACGCAAATGTTGCGTGGGATCGAAGCCATTGGTCATTCATGAAAATAAAAAGAAAAATATGTGAGACAGTTAAGAGTGCGACAACCTAGCAGTGACTACGACAGCATTAATAATAACATTAACAACGATAACAGCAACAATAGTAAGTAATCATCCTAAACGGAAAGATTGCTCTGACAAGCTTTTGGCATTGAGACTGTGATGTGTCAGGAATCGCTGTCTCCGTAGTGGTAGTCTTGAGTGTGTTTCCGCGACGCTTGATACGATCACATTTGCTCATATTTATTTAATTTGTCCCCCTTCCAGAGACATCAAAGCAGTATAGTCTCTCTTTCCGCCAGACTCCAGTGTTTGCCAGCGACGGCGCTTTATTCGTTTTTGTTGTTTGATGATTTGGTTTCAAGAATTCAGGCGAGAGAAGGGCTTTCCACTGAATTCTGTACTCTCGTCTTGCAACACCACACCCGGATCGCAGTTTTTTCCCACAATTTTTGCACAGGCAGTACACAAACGCAATAAAATAAAACCCTTTACACATCAGAACACTTATAGAGTTCTATAGCTACATACAGAACCGAGAGAAAGGGGCGTTCGTAGTTTTCTTCCTTCGCTTTTAAAGCGATTTGTTTGAAACGGCCTTGCTATGTTTTCATCTTAGATTCGTGGAAATATGAGTAGCCTGGGCAGTACAGTGGAAGACAAAACGGATTCACTCTTTTATTGGAAAAAAGAAAAACGCAAATCGTCAAAAAGAAATTCCGCCTAATTAAACAATCGAGAGAGAAAAATAACAAAACCCAAGAAATGCTTTAACCCTGGTCTGTCGCTGCAGCCTCGCACGAATACTCAAGTTCTTACTGCCTCTGGAAATGTGTAAAAGACGAAATGTTGTGCTTGTATTTATTGTTTCAAACACTTTTTTTTATTATTTAAGAAACCCAAAAATTATTTTAGTTTATATTTCAATCATCTTCCAAAATGCACAGAACACATGTGGTTGCCTCCCTCTTATATCGTGATCAAGCATAATAACAAATAAGTTAATGGATCGAATCATTCAGTTCCTGGTTTCTTTTTTTTCATCTGTTTTTGGGGTTGATGGGAGAAAGACGCCCCCAAAACAAAATACAATCAAAAACGTAACTTTGCATAGCGTCCACACAAGACTGAGTTTATTACAGATTGTTCACGCCACAGTTCTGGCCTCGTAATAGCAGAATATACAGATCTGCCACGATTTTATTTTGCTGCATGGATTCATTCCAATGTAATGGGTGATACAAGAACGATCAAGGCTTTTATTTAACATAGAAACATTTAGCAAATGTGTTTACTAAGAAAGAAAGGCAAGAAAGAAAGAGAGAAGGGAGAAGTGACATATAAAATCGAAGAAAAAATAAAACTGTTCTGAGCACATTCAACACTTATAATATTATAGATAATATTTATAAAATGCGAAATAAAAATATTTAGAATAATGAAAACAATGAACCCTATGGCGGACCCGGAGGAAACTGAAGACTCGCCTGTACTAAATGAAGTATATTCACATATTCACAAATTGTTTAAATACAAAATCTGTCTATTTTGCGTCTCCACTTTGATCACTCTTTCTGCTTTCCTAATTGTCGTTTTTGACATTTTTCTGAATAAAAACCTCAGAGTTCTTGTCCCGCTTTGCTGGTTCTTGATCAATTTCTTATTGCAGAAACACAAAACTCGACTCTTTCTTGGTCACTCCGTAGTCCAAGGCTGGACGAAGTCAGAATGTTTCTCCTTTTCCTTCTGATACAGGAGTAACTGGAACTGCTGTTGTGAAAATTATTATTACTAATACCAATAATAGTAATAATTCGTATGATTTTTAGCATTTCTGTATGCTTAGAGTTCACAACAAAGGATTGCCCGAAAAATACTGCAAACGGTCTCGGCTCAGTTTTTTTTCCTTCATTCTGCGGTTCTGAAACCAGATTTTGACCTGGCGGTCGGTGAGGTTCAACATTCGGGACAGCTGGAGTCGCTTCTCCTTGTTGATGTAAACGTTAAAGAAAAACTCGCGCTCCAGCTCCCGGATCTGAAACTTGGAGTATGGGCACCTCTTCTTCCGCGTGCGAGGGGTACCTTCACAGGAAACAATCAAACAGGAAATGGAAAGTCAAGGACAGACCCGTCTCGCGCTTCTCCTCGCTTCTTTCACACTGACTGACTTGTTTTCAATTTGCGCTCAGAAATGTCACTATTTTGGCATATGTGAGTTGCACATGTTCTGACATTTGACGTGCGACCTGTCTTTCTCTCCAGCTGCCTTTTAAATAATACAAGAGGGTAAACGATTATTGTAACTATTTTCATAGAAAATGTGATTGATTTTGGGTCGTCTTCAGATTCACATTCAAGAGTCTTCGACTCCATTGAACGCTTCTCTGTGTTTCGTCTATAGTCGTGTATTTATTTGCACCATATCGTGAATAACATAATAACACTGACAGAGGGTTTATTCATTTTGCATTACTGACAGTTCTACGTGTATGGTGTCCATTGCTGGCACCACTGTGTTATTTAGCGAAATTTTGAAAAAAGATTGTGAGAGTAGATTTCACGAAGATTGTAGCTCTTTCTGTTGTTTATACCATCTCATGTGTAGATTCAAATTAGGCTTGGCGATTCCTTTCCCATCCAAAGCACTTACTGTTCCATGGTGAAATGACCATGGACCGACTTAGGTTCAGACACAAAGTGACTGCAGAATGTACAGCTGTACTATTATAATTGTTTGTAATACCTATAGGCATTACTACACGAATCAGACTACACCACGCCGCTTCGGCCTGTTCGCTCTAGTGTAAAAAATTAAAAGCGTGTTTCTTTGTAACGTGGAAATCGCTAAAAAACAACGAAAATTGTTAAGGAACGTAAATGCAAAGAGAATAACTTAAGATACCCCGGTAAAATACGTCGTAGTAATGTAAAGGACACACGGGTGGAACTGCATTGGGTGTTAATAACAAGCGTAGAAACTGCACCTCTCATTTAAATAAATGTGTAGGTTTGTAGGTTTTGCATATTTATATAAAATGAGAATTTAGCTAGGCAGGTGAATTGTAATTTTGAAAATACAGCAGGGGGTAGATTCTCTATTACAATAAAAAAAAACACGTTGTGTATTTTATTGTTCGGTCTCGCCTGTGCGATATCGCTGCTGTGCCCTCCTGCTCTGGGTTTGTTTGCGCTCAGGCGGCTGGAGGTAAAATCGCAGGAATTCACAGGACGCCAAAAGCACTGTTCTGCCCAATTGGTTTTTACCCTCGACAGCCCAACGAGAAAATCCCTTAAAATGCCCAACGCAAGTTCATGATCAAAGTTAACATTTGTCACAATATCGCGCTCTTAAAATTTCACAGACTCTGAGATAGCTGCGCCTGTGTATCACATCCCGTTTTTTTTTTCAAAGCGATTTTCCCATCGTAAAAATTCTTCTCGTTGGAAGAAAGAGCTTTGTAGGTTATAATAAAATCCTTTGAATGCTTATAAAACTCCACATAAAATCTGACCGACAAAACATCGGGCTAGTCCCTTAACCTTTCCCATTTACGGCTCTATACCTACTCGAGTGGTTCCCTTTGCTAGGGCTGCCGTCCTTCGTGGCCGAGGAAGAGGCGCAGGAGCCCGAATTTGTGTTTTCCTCTTCATCCTCGGGGTCCTTCTCCGCGTCCGCGGCGCTGGGGAGAGCGCCGGGCTCGTGCTCAGCCTCCAGCTTGCCCGCCTCGCTCTTCTGTACACAGTTCTCCGGCGGGGGCTCCGCGCCGCAGTAGGCGCTCTCGAAAAAGCGGTCAAAGCCCTGCGGAAGGACGTTGTTTTTCCCCACGCCGGAGTAAAACCCCGTGGACGGATGATTGGAGCTGGGGTGGTGGTGGTGGTGGTGGTGGTGGCTGTACACGCTTTCGTTTTTCATGAGCATTTCGGTCACGGTGGATGGCGGAAGACATTCCCTATGCACCAAGTCGTCTCCTGAGTAGCAGGATGTATAATTGCTTCTGTGGTGCCACTTACTCGGTGGGTCCAAGCTGTAAGAAACTTCCCGGACAGGCTGCACTTGAGAAAGGTTTGTGGAATAAGGGTAGTTGATTTGTCGAGACGGGGCCTGTGGCAGGAACGAGGAGACCGCAGAAAACTCTGGGACGTAATAAGTGCAGCTCGGAAGATAAAGATTAGAGGCGCAGCCCGCTCTGTCCCCAAAGTCGGAAGTCCTGTCTTTTCTCGTCTGAGAACAGAAGTTCCCCAGATTGACCGAGTTAAACATCTTTCTCCCCGTTGCCTGGCTCTATAGATAGATGTTTTGGAATCGAACTGCAGAAGGGGAAAATTTGGGAAGGCGAGATGACGCGCTATCCGTCTAAGTCGCCCCGAGACACGTGATCGAAAGTAGATATTGTCATATATCAATTTGGAACACTTAGATGCGTAGGAGTGGTCCACTTAGGTAAGATCTCGGAGGTTCAAACGATTGGTTTCAAAACACCGCAGGAGCATTATGAAAATCAATAGCAGATTTCTGCCTATTTTCTTTAAGGCGACTCCCTTAGCAGGCACCCGAGACGAGCAAAGCTGAGAGAGAGAGAGAGAGCGAAAACACCCCCTTATAAATACGATGTTGCAAAGTGAAAGAGATTTACAAGCACGCATCACAATGTTAAGGAATTTCATAGATAGAGCGAGCGGTTTCTTTTGATTTTCGTGTCAAAATTAATTGGGAATTTTTTGTAATGCAGCTGAAAAAAATACGAAAATACAATGGGCTTTCTTTAAATCCTCTCGCATAGAAAGGGGCCGCATAAGTGAAGATTATTCAATGTTACCACCTTCCTTAACTCCAACCCCAAAAGGGGTAGGCTTTGCCAAGTTTGTGTTGCCGTTATGGTGCCCTGATCACCCTAAAATACCACCATACCCCTCAAAACACACACAGCCCCTCCACATCTTCTCTACAGCCATCCCAATGAGCTGTGCTGCCAGCACGCAGATATATCACGGTACTAACCCGAGCACTCCAGTCAATACTTAATAAATACTGCAAAAATCTCCCTAGATTTTTTATTAAATATTTAATATTATTAGAGTACCGCATTGAATCTTTAATGAACGGCTTTATTATCAATCAATGTTGAAGAACATGCAGCCTGCCTTATTTGTAATGCTAAATAAAATTAGTGACTGCTATTAAAGTAATCTATCTTCCGTAACACGGCTATTAACTTGAGGATTTTAATTTGGTTTCTGAAATGAAAATGCCTCTTCTTAAAAGCTAACGTGTGTTAGGCCTTTAGTCCGCCGCGTCGTTCTCAATCTTTAGCCCAGATTCACGTAAACGACACATTTTTAGTTGATTGTTACACAAATACAAACCGTTTTATTTGCTCTACGGTGTGCGAAACAACATTGCACAAATATTATTAATTTGCAGACACATGAAGAACGACTTTCTCCTCTATGTGTGTCGCTCGTACATATATATGTTATGCATATCGCAAAAAAAATCTGCGCTAGTAGTTATCTAAGGACAACACATACTTAGAATAAAAAGGCCTGCTGATACCGCCTGGGCACGAGACAAAATATAGACGCATTATCCATGGTCGAGTTTAAAGGAATATTTTTGTTAAACATCTGTAAATAAAATTAAAACGGCGACAGACGATTACAACAGTGCCTTAACAGCAGTCAGGTGGTGTAATACACTCTGTTGTCCGGTCTATTTCGGACAGACACAGTGCGAAATACACCGGACAATAGAGAAAGCGAGTATCCACTAAATAAAAATGAAAATAATTAAATAATTCTGTCAGTTTTGGGTGTATTTTTTTCCCTCAGCAATCGAAAGACGTATGTAAACGCCTCATTTCCATTCTTACAGAAAATTGGTCTTGGGAGAAACACGTGAAGTGTAGGCATATTTAGGTGTTTTTAAAACGCAACACTCACTGAGCTCCCTGCCCCCACCGTTCTCTCTTAACGTGTTTCCCAGGTTCAAGAACCCATAAAACATATTTTAAAAAACGTTCTCATCATTTCAAGTGGCCGAAGGCATGAAATGTTAATGTTGCCTTTTTTTTAAAAAAAAGAAAAAGCAGAACTGCCCGAGCGAAAATAAAGACTTTTGAATTTTGGCCGAATAATGTCTGATTTATTCGCAGATAAAATAAGCTATCAGCTCAGACTTCTTAGCGGCAGACATTTATATAACCTGTGCTCTCACAGACACAAAATCACTCTCTCAACCCAACACACTAAAAGAGGCGGTAGAGATAGAAGGCGCGCCTGGAGATACAGCGATTTGCCCGTGCTCTTGCATGCAAACATTCAATACAAATCAGATTTTGGATTCTTCCCATTTCTCCATTTTCAGCAAGGAAATCGCAGATAAATGCTCTGAAACGCAGGACTCGGCGTTGTCGCCTGACACAATTTCGACCGCTTCGCACAGCTTTGGGGGCGAACTTTTAATTAAACTGTCAGAGGACCTTTTTACTGGGCGCTTTATAGACCAATATTAATACCAAGTAAAACTAATAAGACTAGCAATTGTTTACGAGGCTAATTATTTCGCCAGGTTTTCTCTTCATTAAAATATTATGTGGCAGGAAATCAACCCCAAGTACTCGCAAGACACCGCTGTATATACGACAACATGTTTTAGTTCATAATCCTCTCTGTACTCCAGTTTGTATACTTCCAGGGAACATTTCCCCTGCCGTGTTTCTCTGGAATGTGGTATTCGAGATATACACTAAATGTAATATGCATTACACATATTTGTCAGTATTTAACACGGGTCGCGCACAGTCTTAAAATTAAAAAAAAAACTAGAAAGGTTTGTGTCACCGATACTAGATCGGGGATAGTTAATTTTACTTCCTTCCATTTTTTTTGCAGATAAAAGGTTAGGCCGGGAGATTCCTACAATCGAGTAAAAAGAAAGCAGACAGCTGCCCAGACACACAGCACTTGAATTTGACCACTAAAATTCTTTTCCCCGGCTACCATAAAACTACGAATGGCTGCTGTGAGGCGAGATTCCTTTGTTCTTCCTGAAAACAGGAGAGGAAAGCGGAGTAACAGCGAGGAAGGACAAGTTTAGTTGGAGGCTGTAAAAAAAGAAAATATATAAACATAATATCCCAACCCCCACCCCCCAAAAAACAAGCTAAATGCAACGATTGATGCCCCCCTCGCGATCAGATCGTTCTGCGTTTCTCACCCAAAGTCGATAGGTTTTACTTACATATTACATTTATGTTGGTTTAATACAACGGTTAATTGGGTATTGAACAAAAAATGAATAAAAACGCCATTGATAAAGGAGCGAGCAAAGGCAGTCAGGCATTCGTAATTGGGATAGATTTTCGGTTAATTAGGCTTCGCTCCGTAGGAAGTATAATTCCCGCTGAATTACAGCTAGATTTAATATAGGAGTAACAGCGGTGCTGTTTCACTGCGGTGCAAATAGGGATCATTAACTATTGGAATATAAAAGATGCAGAAATTCGCCACAAAGCCCTAGAAATCCCCTCTCACTGTGCGAAACAATTTACAGAAAGAGCATTCCATATTCATGGCAAGTAGGACTGTAAATAAGGCCGGTGTTTAACGACATCTCTATATCTCCACGTCACATAGGGAAGAGATTAGATTGGATGTCAACGCGAACATAAACTGTACCTGGAGAGCAGTAGAACTCGTAAACAAAAATAAAAATAAAAAAAAATATTCTGTTCTGAAAGCCGCTTGGCGCAAGTGAGAGCGAAGTAAGCTCAAGGTCTCTTTCTGGGAAAAAAAAAACAATTAAATCGCGTTACGAAAAGCCACGATAACGAGAAAAGTGCACGTTACGATCAAATTCCTTTAAGGTTCTGTTGTGTTATTCATGCTATCCATTGTACCGGCCTGGAGAGTATTCACAGGGTTAAAACTACAGAAGGAAAAAAAAAGCATGACTGTACAATTATGCGCTCTTCAAATAAATAAGTAAATTGACGTCGCCTCTTGAAAGCTTACATATGTTCTTGTGGTCGGGGCCTAGCTGTTACTCTCGCAGAAGGACCCTGAAATGCGTTCATGCAAGATGTTTATTTAAAGCCGATTTCATCTCAAATTGCGATTAGCTGCTTTGTCAGGTTCGCTGCATAAACCCAATCAAGTTCGATTGTGAACTTGAGACACGCACGAACATCCGTGTCTGTAGAATCTTAGTCTTAACCAGCACAGGTAGATTCCAAAGGTGAGATGGTCCCCTTTCTTGCGTGTCCTGAGTCCAGAGCTTGAACACGGTGCTGTAAATGATGGTCATTCTCTCTGCTTGCAGATAACACTGCCGGACACAGGATAGAAAGGGCTCGACGGCTCTAGGTTTGTGGAATCTCAGCGACGCACTGCAAAACCCCAGAGCTGTGCTCACGACTGTAAAACTTCCTGAAATTCAGAGACTGGCTCGCCAAAAAGTCCCACTGAAGTTTATCGGCCCTTTAAAGACAAAAAGACAACAGGAAGCGAAAATGAAAAGACCAGAACAAAAACTAGCCAAGCTCCTTCAGGTAACAGCGAAGTTCACGTCAGGCCAATCGGTGACAGTAAAAAGGAAACCGGTTTCGAATAAGGGGTCGGTGCAGGAAGGGTGAGGAGCAACATTATTGTCCCCTCATGGCCCAGATAAATTTAAGTGGATGTAAGCCAGGCTATTAAATGTGGTTGTATGAGCTGTGAACAGTTTGAAGAAACAACAAAAAGGGCTCTTGGTTTTACTGAGGTCTGCAGCACCGCACCTCAGCCGTCTGGCGACCATAAACCGGGGGCAGCATTAAAATGAAGGGGAGACACTGAAACTGAAAAGCCTTTTCGTTACATATATATTAGCCTATATAATATATTATATATGAATGCGGGTGGGGCGGTAAAGAGGTTTTCAGCAATGCCAAGATATAAATTTATAAAACGAAAGAGAAACCCAGTGGATAGACAGACTCAGATTGACAGACAGGTTTATCAGCTGATTCTGACCGGGTGGTTTTACTGTAAAAGCCACAAGCAGACGTACAGTACGCAATGACAGAGTTACACACAACCCGCTCCACTTCAGCCTGACGCTTTCAACGGGACGCTCACACTTTCCCTTCACGCGAAATTGAAGGAGAAAAAAAATGCACCAGGGCATCACGGAATTGCGTCCAGCAATTACCCACATTTCGCGAGAGGATGAGATGGTGCGCCGCGCATCGGCGCCGCCCTGGCTTGATCGGACAAGCACACCAGACGCGGGGCTTGGAAAAGCAACTTCTGCTGAAAGTTTGGCCGTGACAGCAGTCACGATTAAAATGGGAACCTTCTCGACAGTTTTTCAATTTCTCCCAGTCGCGAGTGCATGCCGGTTCTTTGCGCAAAATGTTGCGGGCTTGTAGAATTTGTAAACTATTCGCTTCATTCGCGCCGTAGACTTTTATTATTGCCAATTAATGTAGCGTCGTACCGCAAGAGAGCGGCATCTTTACAGACTAGCTCAGGCGCATGAGAGACGGACGGAACTGCACGCCTGAGCTCGGTCTGTGCGCCACGTTTTCCAGCCCGACAGCTCTGTTCTTTTTATATCGGGATTAAAACACTCCGAGCATACTATTAAAAACGAAACAAGCTGGCGTTCAAACGCGGCGAACACCAATGCTTTTATTACAATCTGCAATCAGCAGGCCAAAATCCGATTTTTTTTTTCATGAACACAAAGCTGTGACGGTTTTACGCTGGAACTTTGTAGTTACTTTTTTTCCCCAGAATCAGACCTCCAAACAGGTTCTCAGTACTTTTTGTTTCTGTTATACATTATGTGTATGTATACATTATATACACGTGAATGTATATGTAGGCCACACATGGCGGGTTTATTATTGACTGTCAGAAGTAGTATTGGAGTGATTTAAAAATACATTTAGACAATGCATATTAAGAACTATAAATTTAAGATAATATTCAAATAAGGACTAATCAAGTAGTTTCGCGTTTA